TCTATGGACTGAGCCCACCAGGCTCCTCTGCCCAGGGAATTCTCCAGTCAAAAGTACTGGAGTGGGTTGCCATGCCCTCCTCTAGGAGACCTTCCCAACCCAGGGATAGAACCCAGGTCTCCTGCATTGCAGGCAGATTCTTTACCACGGAGCCACCAGAGAAGCCCAGGCTAAGCTGAACTGACCTCAGTAAATAATAATCTTCTAAACAGTGTCTTCAAAAAATAAGAGAGTTTAATCTGACATAAAGAAACAAGAAAAAGAATGGTGAGGGTAGACGTGGGGGTTAAGATGATCAATGTGAGCATGATTTTTGTAGAATGTTACGAGAGACATTGTGGGTGGAACAAGCACATGTTTCAGATTAGTAAGCTAAACAACGAGACTTGAATAATGAGCATTTGACACTCAAACCCAGAAGCAGTATTCACTAGTACATTTTTGTACTGTACGTTATGTACCAGATGATATAACAAGAGCTATCTATATTTATTCTCATTTTACCTGATTCCATAACCCAATAGGCTATTATTGCTCCCATTTGCAGATGAGGATCTTGTGTCCCATATAATTTAGTTACTTTGCCCAAATAATAAGTGAATAAAATGCTCTGGAGAAAAGTGGAGATTGTCAACAGATAAGTACACATTCTCCTGGTTTCTTATAATTGTGTTGCTAATATTCTTGCTAACATTTCGCTAGTCCTTTATTTTGGTTATATTCTCCTGCATTGCTTTAAGAAATCTTCATTCAAACTAAATAAAATGAAGTATTCACTTGAAAGAAGGGAAGAAAGAAAGGTAATAGTTTATGATAGAACTATGTTAATATGAACCTGAAATTTTCTAATCTAGAGGAGATATTTTATGGCTGGTGAAATCTCAGGGTGGCGAAGACACCATTTGTACAGAGTAGAATTTTCTTGCTCATTTATAGGCAAGTCTACACAAGTCATGTCTGATTAATCTTCTACTATTTAATTTAAGGTCCTTTCAATAGGCTTTGAGAATTGTAGGCATTCATTATTTCACTCAATATAGGAGAGAAGTTCAATATAAACTTTTATCACTTGATTTTTATTCATCTTCTTGATCATCAGTTTCTACAAGGAGACTCACAAATTTCAAAGAAGAAAGAGAAGCCATCATTTAGTTCAGAGTGAAAGATGTGGACCAGAACTCGAAAAACACCCTTCAATCATAGAACAAGTGTGTACTGTTTGCCTGTTACGTAGAGGCAGTATTCTATGGTCTTGCTATACAAGAGTGAATCTTGACCTTATGGCATCATATTCCAGCAGGATGGGACAGACAATACACAACTGTCATAATAAATACTTAAAATTAAGTCATGTATTAAAAGGCTTTCCTGGTGGTTCAGGCAGTAAAGAGTTTGCCTGCAACACAGGAGATCCAGGTTCAATCCCTGAGTTAGGAAGATGCCCTGGAGAAGGGAATAGCTACCCACTCCAGTATTCTTGCCAGGAGAATTCCATGGACAGGGGAACCTGGCAGGCTACAGTCCATGGGGCTGCAAAGAATCAAACAGGACTGAGTAACTAAGCACTCATGCATGCACGCAATCTGGTCAGGCCCTGGGAGAAGATATTATTTGGGTGAAGTTTTAAAGGTCTTTTAAGTTAACCATGCTTGGAGAAAGCATTGTTAAAACTTCTGTTCTATGCTAGGGTGTACTGGGTCAAATCAGAAAGGTATCTGGGTTTGTAGATGGATTGTGAGAGTAAGTCAGTTATGGTATAATGAACAGACTGGCCTGACCGAGAAGGGTAAGCTAGTAATCTAAAGTTCTCTATAAAGGTAGAAAGAAGCCCAGCCAAGTGACGGAAATGAATTGTGAGCGAGAAGGGAGTCAAATGTCAGAGCTAGAGAAACATGACCAAATGGCAACCTAAAGAATCACCTTGTTTTAAATAATAATGAATGTGCAGTCATATTTAGGCTGGAAAGTAAGAGCAAATGTTTGATCTCAGTCATGGGTCATGGCTTCCTGTCTGGTTTTTGTCATAATTTGTCCAAAAGGGTGCATGCACATTTCTAGTTGTCGCATTTATTAGAATTATCTCTTTCCTCCTCCTGATTGGCATTAAAGTAAGCAAACATGATCAATGTTGTTAAATAAATTTTACTAGTGAAATACTAGGTCTCTTCATTTTATTCTAGGGGTTCCATGTTTCACTCAGAAATAAGGCGGGATCCTTTGTCATGCTTTGAGCATCGGTGGTAAAATCTCCTCATTTTCCTATTAAAAAATGCAAAACTCCAAGAGCTGAAGCAACTTCTAAATGTCACACAAGATATATTATAAGTTGGTTCCCAGAGGAAGTTGTTTTTGTTTTTCCCTCTTTTTCTTTATTTTTTGAAAGGAAAAAAAAAAATTCTGTGCTTATTTACACTTCATGGGAAAAACATCATTAGCATTTTGTATTTTTCTGTAGGCTTTTTTCTCCCCTGGGGATTATTTTACATCTGAAAGGGCATTATTCATCAATGAATAATGAGAAAGTTTTCAGGAAACCTTTCTACTACAGCCCTGCTCCCACCCCTGTCCACTTCCCCCCAACACACAGATGCTGACTGGGTGATTGAGGCCAAGGAGAAACTTCAGGCTTTGTAGGCATTTCCTTACTAGCCTTGAAGTCACATACACCCTGGTAATGACAGCCATTCCTGCCACCCTTGACTGCAGAGATGCACAGACTCCAAAAATCAACATGGCAGCTTTTACTAAAGAGTGGACGTAATTGAACATGCAAATCGGATTTACACACTCAGGTTTGGGCAACAGTGACTATAAACACAGCCTAAGACTCACATTCACAAAATTATATTGGACTGTACATACAAATCAGCTCCCATTGAATCTTTGAAAATGAGATCACATTTCTTCCGCATTTACTGCACAGTCCATGCTGGTTAACTAGAGCAAATTGTTATCACCAAGCTCAGCAGAAAAATTGTAAAATGTTCCCGATGGTTATTTCTCCTCCCTCCTCCTGAGGGGCTTTGCAGGTTATACATTTACAGAGCGTTTAGAATGTGATACAAATCAGGCCCCTAGATTTTCCCCCCATCGGTGGTGTCGTCTGGATAAATCACACCCTTTGGCATTTGCATTGATACAACAAGAACATACCATGCAGCACAAATAACCTCATTTCCATAAAACGGCCTTTTAAAATTAGAAAATGTATAATTCATTTGGGGTGGTTATTACCGCTTTTGGTCGGGAGGGATTTAAACTTGTATTTAAATGCAAATAACTGTATTTTTTCACAGTTACACACAGGAAGCCACACAACTTAGGCACTCTAAGATGTATGGTTATCCTCCGCTATCAATTCAGGATGACGATCTTGATCACAAAAGCGGTTTACAGGTCCCGTTACAGTTTGCATGAAGCTCTCACATGTCAGGTGAGACCCTCCAAGCTCCAGGAGACAGACTTCCATTTTACATCTGAAGAAGCTAAAGCCCAGAGAATTTAAGCAATGTCTCAGGATCACACAGGTTCAGGTGTCATCTCTGTGAGCAGGAAGTGGCTTAAACATGGATAAGAGGACAGAATGGATAAACTTGGGCACCCAGACAGATTCAAGGATGGGAATAAGGTAACCAGAAAAAAAGTGAAAATGAGAGAGGGTAGAGGGAGAGAAAGAACCCTTTTTAAAGCGGCAGAAAATACCCAGGAAAGAAAGGGCCAGGTAAACTCTTGGACAAGTATGTACTACTTTGTCTGCTTCTCATCTCCGACCCTCTGCATGGCACTCTAGCTCACAAATATTTAAAGAACAAAGAGAAGCAGAAGCCTTTGGTGTCTCACAACCCAGGTGTCTGACCCAGAACCATGGTTCCTTCTATTCAACCACGCTGCTCCTGTCTCCTTTGTTCCAGAAGGCTGTTTATCCTGCAGTCTCCTGGGCAGGGGAAAGCATCTCTAAGCCCCACTCTGGAGACAAATGGCTCACCCTTTAGGTATCAAAACTGCATTCCCACAAAGGAACCAGGTTTCTGGCTGCTGGGTCTTTGTCCATCCTGTCATCTGGCTTTCTCTCTGAACCAACTCCTCCTGACTCTGACCCCCACCTTGTCTAACAAGTGTGTACTTACTCTTCAAAACTAAACTAAGGCAGGAGTCCTGGATGAAAACTTTCTGAATTCTCTTTCCATCACCAACCAGGTGATGACACCTCTCTTGCCTCAGCCTTCGTCATTTTATGAGCCCTCTCAACCTACAACCAGAAGGTTTGCTTTGCTGTAGCCATACCTCTGGGCTCAAGTCCTCAAAAGCAAGGATCTTTTCTTGTTTATCTGTATATATTCACAACCGATGTGGCAGAGAGTGGAGTATAGAAAGAATCCTATGCATGTTTGTTGAGTCTCAATTCTGCTGACACCATCTGTGTGACTTCAGACAATTACTGAGCTTCTCTGAACCTCAGTTTGAAAGTGAAGGTGTTAGTCACTCGGCCATGTCAGACTCTGTGACCCCATGGACTGTAGCCCACCAGGCTCCTCTGTCCAAGGGATTCTCCAGGCAAGAATACTGGAGTGGGTTTCCATTCCCTTCTCCAGGGGATCTTCCCAATCCAAGGTTTGAGCCCATATCTCCTGCATGGCAGGCAGATTTTTTACCATCTGAGCCCCTGAAACATTTTACTCATATTAAAAAAAAAAAAAATGGAAATGTAGTATGGCCAGAGTGAATATTGCACTAACTAGAAAGAGAGTGTGCCCCATATCTGGTAAGGTATCAAAAAATGACAGTTGCCATAATCACTCCTGCTAATATTAAATCAGTGAATGAATGTTTGGATACCAGAGGTGCTGCCCTCAAGCAGACCTTTTTGACCTTTGTATATCAGTTTGGTGTCAACTATACTTCTTTCTATACAAAATACTATCCCCTTCCTGACTGCATCTCTATTTATGGAGCTATTACAAATCCTGTCCTCCAGAACAGAATCATATGATTACCCAGGACCTTGTGTTTCTCCTGCCTCAATGTCACTCCAACGTTAACAGCTTCACTGAGGCATCCATTTGTCAGCAATGGCTGGAGTTATTACCATTCTCCCAGAGACTGAATTTAATCTGTTCAGTTACGCTGTTTGCTGTGCTTCATTTTCTCATTGGCCAAATGAGGAAGTCAGATCTTAGGGATTCCAAGTTTCCTTCCAATTCAAGCTCCTGATTTTCAAAGAGAAATTCAGTTTGATCAAAGGATTTAATAATTTAATGTATTTGCTCATACTTGCTATAGCAGTGAAATTGAAAAGCTTTCTGGTCCAAGATTTAAGAGCAAGAGGAAAGACCTTCTTGACCTTGGATAAGACACTTTCTTTTTCTGAATCTTCTAACCTCATCTGAAAAATAAGGATCTGGGAGAGCAGGAATTTCATGTAACAGCATTATTGAACCCCAGGGGGCATATAGAAAGTGAGGAGATATTTTTATGTCACATGGCATTTAGTAAGTGAGGCAGAGGACGGAAACCATTCTACAATGCAAGCAACACTTTGGGATAATGAAGAATCATCCAACCCAGATTAATAAGAGTGTTTCAGTTGAGGCCATGTTAGCAATGTTCACATGATCTCCATTAGAATATTCTGGGGCTCTCCAGGCGATTCAGTGGTAAAAAATCTGCCTGCCAGTTCAGGAGACACAAGAGATGAGGATTCGACCCCTGGGTTGAGAAGATTCCCTGGAGGAGGAAATAGCAACACACTCCAGTATTTTTGCCTAGCAAATTCCATGGACAGAGGACCCTGGCGGGCTGCAGTCCACGGGGTCACAAAGAGTTGGATACAAATAAGCACACATGCATATTAGAATACTCCACTTTTAACATTTTTTAAACAGCTAAGGGAAGCAATAGGTGCTTAATAAATTTGTGTTTAGATAGAGTTTTGACTTTTGCAGTATTCTGATTTTCTTATTATATATAACTCTAATTAACCTTGAAATTTTATACTTAAGTTATATCAAAGGGCACAGATCTTTTCTCCTTTAAGTATGTTGTTTCCAGAAAGTATTATGCAGCCTCACTTCCTATAACCTTTCCTTCTTTCTCCTACATCAAAACCTCCTCACAGGTTGGACCTGAAACTATTAGAACTGGGAGAAATGTAGCGACATTTATTTAAGATTCATTTGGGCTTTCAGTTCTATCATTAGTCTGCTTGTATCCTCAGTTCTAGGAAGAAAACCTATAAATGGATCATTTCACCTCCAGAACTGCTGATTCTTATATTTAGTCAATTGTCTTTTTAAAAAGTATGGATTATATTTCCTCATTACCTGCTCTGAGCCAGACACTGTGCCAGTAGCTTTGTAAACATTGATGTTAATATAATAACATTTTGATTATAGATTATTTTCAACATCAGGAAATTAATTTTTGGTGAGGTTTGTAAAACTTTCCCAAGGATACCTGGATTCTAGTGGTAAATCCAAGTTTGAGCTTGGTTTGTCCCCTGAAAGAATCCACCTGCAAATGCGGGAGACCCCAGTTCTATTCCTGGGTCAGGAAGATCCAACGGAGAAGAGATAGGCTATGCACTCCAGTATTATTGGGCTTCCCTTTGGCTCAGCTAATAAAGAATGTGCCTGCAGTGCGGGAGACCTGGATTTGATCCTTGGGTTGGGAAGATCCTCTGGAGCAGAGAAAGGCTACCCACTCCAGTATTCTGGCCTGGAGAATTCCATGGACTGTATAAATCCATGGGGTTGCAAAGAGTTGGACACAGCTGAACAACTTTCACTTTCACTTCTGTCCACTAAAAATTCATGATTTTGAACTATAAGGCATTCTGTTCTATAATTGGGAGATATAAGACAGCTGCTCTCTTCTGGAAGGGACCTGGTGCCTACCTGAATTTAGCCATATGAAATATTGATGTCCAAATAAGAGCTGGTCCCTGGCTGTGCAGAGAGGAGAATGGCAGCATGTGTACTGGGGATATACTAACCCCTCACTTACATCACTGGCCCATTCTATACCTTCAGAAACTCTCTACTCATTCTGAGAAGTCATATCCTGTCTAGGGAGGGAAAAAATAATGGAAAAAAAACTTCTTAGAAGGGAGACAAATTCAGCTTTTAGATGAATAGAAAAAGGGACTTTGTGATAGTTGGAGTTGATAAATGAAAACACAAGGTGACGTTATTGTTTTCTAGAGGGCAGAGGTAAGTGCTGGGTCTACTGTTCACTAGCTTTTTGATCATGGGAAGACCCAAAAGGTTTCTGAGCCAACATTTACTCATCTGTAAATTGGTTTATGATGCTTATTCCAAAATGCTGTTGTAAATAATGAGGCATGGAGAAGGCACGGAAGGCCTCCTTCATCATCCTCAGGAGGCTTCTACTCTGGCTGGTCTTGAAGAGTTGATATTTTCCAGAATTCCACTCCTCACAAGTGCCCTCTGAGCAGTTCCATTCCTTTCTGGTATTCCTTATCTCTTATTCCAATCTTGAAGCTGAGATTTGCACATCCAAATGCCAATGAGGCTTTTCCATTTGGGTACCCCAAAGGGCCTCAAGCTTGAAATTGTCATTATGCAAACACATCATTTTATGCAAACACATGCTTCCTTTGTCTGCCCTCAGAGCTCAAGAACAGTAAAACCATCAGTCCAATTCTGATGCTAGAATCATGGAGTTATTCTGTATTTGTTTATCCTGATGCTGGGAAAGATTGAAGGCAGGAGGAGAAGGGGACGAGAATGGATGAGATGGTTGGATGGCACCACTGACGCGATGGACATGAGTTTGAGTAAGCTCTGGGAGTTGGTGATGGACAGGGAGACCTGGCATGCTGCTGTCCATGGGATCACAGAGTCAGACACAACTGAACGACTGAACTGAGCTGAACTGAATCACAATAAATTTCATTTTATTTATTTTTGTTGAATGATAGAGTTTAAATTCTGTCATGCTACAATTTTCAAGAGTTTCACACACATGATTTCTTATAAATCCCGTAACACTTTTCCCCCTTACATTTTTACTGCTTCTTCTTCTCCCCATTCTCCTTGGTAATCACTTGTTTATTCTCATTATCTGTGAGTCTGCTTATGTTTTTGTTTTATTAACTAGTTTGCTGTATTTTTTACATTCCACACAGAAGGGATATCATACAGTATTTGTCTTTCACTGTCTGATTTATTTCGCTTAGCATAATGCCATGGGGTCATTCTGGATTTCCAATGTTTATGCCATATTGTTATCAACTCCTACAGCAGGGTACCCAGCCTAGGTAAGCCTGAATACCTCCAACAATAAGGAACACTGACATTCACAGTACAGTGTGACTGATAGGGACAGGAACATCTGTAAAATAGTGCATGAGATTCTGGAAAACACTAGTTGTTCAATGGGCCAAGCTGAACCGACTTCAACAAATAATACTCTTCTAAACAATGTCTTCAAAAATAGAGCTTTCTTTGACATTGTAGTTATTCAGCTTTAGGATGGACAGCTGTGATCATTTTGTGTAGAATGATAGATTCTTGTTGTTGTTGTTCAGTTGCCCACTCTTGTCCAACTCATCGTGACGCCACGACTGCAGCACACCAGACCTCCCTGTCCGGAGTTTGCCCAAGTTCATGTCCATTGCATCTGTAATTCTATTCAGTCATCTCATTCTCTGACACCCTCTTCTCTTTCTGCCTTCAATCTTTCCCAGCATCAGGATCTTTTCCAATGAGTTGTGTGTTTGAATCAGGTGAGCAAAATATTGGAGCTCCTGCTTCAGCATCAGGTCTTCCTATGAATATTCAGGGTTTATTTCAAGACTGACTGGCTTGATCCTTGCTATCGATATTCTTTCATTTTCAATCTATGAAAAAAATAAGAAATAGTGTATCAGTTATAATTTTTTGTCATGGAAGAATTCTAGATAGTAAAGGAGATTCTAGAACTTACCCAAATTAAATCTATATCTTTAGAACTTGACATGTCATAAGCACTCAATAAATATTTGTTGAATTAATCAATTAATTAATGTCATGATTTTAAGAAAATACAGGGATAATCCAAGTTCAGACATGCTGTAACTTTTATCACTAATTTCAGCCCCTAATCTGCTCATGTCCTTTAACACCTCTAAACCTGTTTCCTTTTTCCTTCCCTTGGGAAACACACGCATCTCTAAGCCCCTTTAAAATCAACTCATTGGTGAGAGGAAGGTTCTTCATGCCTTTTTGCTGTCCTTGGCAGGTTTTGAGGGTTTGAACATTCAGACATCCAGCTACCTATTTGACTTTTCTCTTAATATCTTATCTATCTTCTTTACTCTCTCCACTTCAGATAGATGTCTAGACTTTTCTTTGAAACCTGAACATCCTCCCATTTTCCCTAGCTCAGTAAATGGCAATAACATTAAAATAAACAAACAACCAAACAGAAAACTTACTCGGGCCAGAGCTTGGGGTTTTGACTCTATTCTCTCAGACTATATCCAACCCACCAGAATGCTTGTCTATTCTAACCTCAAAATATATCCTAAATTGCAAACTAAATTGAAAGCGAAAATGTTAGTCACTCAGTCATGTCCAACTCTTTACAACCCACTGGACTGTAGCCTGCCAGGATCCTCTGTCCATGGAATTCTCCAGGCAAGAATACTGGAATGGGTTGCCATTCCCTTCTCTAGCAATCTTCCCAACCTAGGGGTTGAACCTGGATCTTCCTCTTTGCAGGCAGTTTCTTCACCGTCAACTCCAAACAACAAACAGCCATGTTTTCTGTGGACTTAAGCAACTGTTTACTGACTTGTCTCTCAAGTGACCAAGATCCCTGGCCAACACAACTGGAGGCCCAGATGCCTCAATGCACACTGGGGCTGAGGGTTGCTGTCTTATCAGCTTTGGCTGTCTTAACAGCTTTGGCTGTTATGACAAAATACCACAGACTGGGCAGCTTAACCAATGGAAATGTATTTTCTCTCACTTCTGAAAACTGGAAAGTTCAAGATCACAGTGCCATCTTGCTTGGATTTTTGGTGAGTATACTCACCCTGGCTTGCAGACAGGAGCTTTCTCATGGCGTTCTCACAAGTTAAAGAGGGAGAGAACACTGTTGTCTTGTTTCTCTTATAAGGACACTAATCTATCATGAAGCACCCATCCTTATGTCCTCATCTACACCTAACTACCCCCCAAAGGTTCTATCTCCAAAGGTGATT